TACGAATCTTGAAGCTGACGACAAAACGAAGCTATCTCTGCTTCGCCTCGAATCGTACCTCATACGCAGAATACGATATACGAACCCTGAAACGAGAACGAGAAGAGAAAACGAGGGGAGCTGTGCTATCGGCCTCATTATGTCGCCAGCGACGGGTTTCGTGACAAGTCCACCACCGGGTTTCATAGTATGAGTAATGTAAGCACCGGGCATTCTATGTCGCCCGGAAGACGTAGTCCCACGTTACGGAGTACGGAGTAGGCATGTATTCTTTACGAAATCCCATTTTCCCATCAGCTATGAGTCCTCTGTAAGGATTCACATAGAGTCTAGTTAGATTACGTTAAAGAGGCTTGTGCCATTAGCGCCGAGTATCCGTAGATTGACAGGTGTTGCAGCTTGCGGCATCGGTTCAGGGACCTCATTACCAGAAAGTCAGTAAGGTTTGCTAGTCAGAGTTAGGCCTAGAGTGAGATCGCATCAGGCCCACTAACTGGAATAATCAGATCGATACACCTCATGATTGGGTTGAGGGGATAGTAGAAATCTTTCCCCGACGACGTACGAGACATGATCCCAGTTAAAGGCGTGGAGCAGCCTCGTTTTCGGACTCCATAACAATTGGTCGGCGACCCTCGCCAAGCCAATCGCCGACTGGTCTATACGGCCGGCGACTGGTCGGGGGTTGTCTTCATCTGAAGGAGATGGACCGCGGCGCGGTCGTGGCTTTTCTCCCCCGGTCACCCAATACCCACGGATTCCACGGGAGGCACAGCACGCACCAGAGTATCTGCCAAGACCCTGCCGTAGCCCGATGTTTCCCTGTCACTTTCTCCATCTCATTCTTGCCCATCTTGGCTGGCCTCCGCCGGCTTGAGACTTTTTACGGCGTTTCCTGAAGCCTGAAGGACCTGATAACTCTAAATGTTGCAACTTGTGGGCGCGGGAAAGGGAATGGAACCTTGGAAGAGGCCGGCGATCCGGCGACGCAAGATTGAGGCTTAGATGCTACATGTACTCATTAGGCTGAGCCAGGCCTTGGCGAAAAGGGATGAGAGTGTCAACTGACGACAACAGGCCTTGGCTCGTTCAACCATGGTGTTTTCACCGAGTGAGGGGATTCATGAAAAGCTTTCTACCAGACACACAACCTCTTACCCAAAGTCTTGGCGATTCGCGTCTATTCTTTCTGTTGCCTTTGAGTCCCCAACCCACCACCTTTTCTTCTGGTCCCCATCGTCCCCTCCCTCTCCAATGTCCGTGAACCTTTCGTCCCATTCTGTCGCCGGTCGCACATCCCAAAGACGCCGTTTCACTGGTTCTATTCTCAGCCAGCCCATGCAAGGCTGTCAATGCGCCTGGGAGTGCCACGTTGGAGACGGTGCACTAGATGTTGTCAAGACCGAACAACTAACTCGGGGGCGATGTCAAGTGTGTGATGGATGGGCATCCCCCACACTGACGCATGCACACAAGGCTTAGCCCATACCGACTGCAACCGCCGCTCCTCCCGCGGACACATGTACACAAAGTAACATAGCTTCTTCTTCTTCTTCTTGAGGAAATATTCGCACGTTTACTGTATCCGTACGGTAAACTGGGGCCAGAGTGCGGTATCTCCGCCCGCACGCCGGAGGTCTTGGCACGACTCAGTTCCGCATTGCTGACACCGTCACTTTCTCCCCCCCCTAAACACCGCGAAGATACCAAGGAACCTAGTAAGCTTCACTCTTCTACATTCTCTTTTCTTTCTCTTCCCATTTTTGCCCTTGACGATTCTTCAACATCCCTCTACCTTGTTCTGCTTCGCACTACACATCCTGTAACTGGGTTAAACACCAGCTGGACCCCAGTCCTGGCGGGGTTGAATTTCATTGTTGATGTGCGAAGGGCAGACTCGAGGCTTGGCATTCCCGCAGATATTCTATCCATATCTACAGATACATAGAAACGTACCGCTGCTACGCTCTTCAGAAGACAATGATGCGTCAGTACCGCGTTATTCGTGCCTGATTGTATCCGTTCTCCCCGTTCCCTTGTCCTGTCCCCTACACCCCGGCCACCTTAGATCGGACGAAAATCCTGGACGCACCCGTCGACTTCTACATCGGCCCTAGGCTCGCTCGGCCGGGATGCGCAAGAACGTTCGACACGGCTCAACATAAGAATAACTTCCCACAGCTTGGCCGCGGGTCGCCGACTGCAGCGGTTTCCTCGGCCTGCTCTGTATAAACAGAGGGAACACACTTCGATCCGCAAAGATACCTCACCCCACCGGCTCATCCTTATTTACTGGACCTTGTTCCTCCCTACCTCGTTACCGTCTTCGTTCTCGGGTGCTTGCTCTATCAGGCCTCGATGTGTTTTCTTGGTCTTGAATCCTCTGCAGCAGAAGCCACAACATCACAATGAAGCGACTGGGTTACAGGAAATCACGCAATGGGTGCTTGAGATGCAAGGAGAGAAGAGTCAAAGTATGTCATCAGAGTCCAAGTCCCAGTGATGAAGTAGTTGGTCTTCATCTGGCCTCTCCATTCTATCACATTCAACACTGCGCTGTGTACATTCGGCCGAGACTAACGAGTATGAACCCCACGCAGTGTGACGAGAACAAGCCTTGCAGCGCTTGTGTACGCCATGGCTTGCCATGTAGTCTCGAAAACGCGGGAGCGCCAACAGGCGCGTCCTCTCAGTCCATGGCTCACCTGCCGCCGCCAGGGCAACGTACCAAGAGGTCGGGTTCGCGCGTAAGCTTCCTCCCCTAACCCCCAGTTTTGCCCCCCCTCACCAGCCTTGTTGGTGTTGGGGAGGGCCTCGTTTTCGCAAACTAACGCGCCGTTGGGGTTTATTAGGGCTCGGCGTCGGCACTGAGACGCCGGTCAAGCGCGCAGTCTCCTGCTTCTCTCTCGCCACAGTCTGCCGCCGGATCACTCGGGGGCCAACAGAGCGCGTCTAGCTCCGGCGGAGGAGGCCAAACTTCGCCTTCGTCGCAGTCTGACCCGTTTCCTTACTTCTCGAGGTTCCTGACCGACCTCAATAAGACAGAGACGGCTAGCGGATGGATCTCTGATCTCGAGCTTATGCACCATTATACTTCGGTGTCTTATCGAACCTTTTCGCACTCCTCCTTGGCCCAGAAGACTCTCCAATACGACGTCCCGAGAGAGGCGCTCTCCTACCCTTTCCTCCTTCATCAAATTCTCGCTTTCTCAGCCTACCACTTGGCCTACCTTCAGCCAGACTGCCGCCATGCCTACCTCATGCAGGCTGCCCAGCACCAGAATGACGCTATCAACGGGATGAGAGGGACTCTCCTCGGCACGATCTCCTCGACGAACTGCCACGCCCTTTTCGCCTCCTCCATCTTTCTTACCTTGAGCGCCTTTGCTACCTACCCGAGCTACGAGAAATACAACCCTTCCTTCTCCCCGATCGATAGTATGCTCGACATCTTTACCCTCACCGACGGGATGAGCATGATCCTGCGTGCCTCCGACGAGGATCTGCGCAAGGGCCCACTACGAGAAATCTTCATCCGCGGGTCCGGCGATACCACACCGTCCACCGTGGAGGCTACTCTACAACCGCTCTTCGAACGGCTTCCTCGCCTAAGCTCCAGGCTCGCGGAGATCGGTCTAGTCGAGCACGAGGGGAAATATGCCATCACTAACGCGGTGATTGCCTTGAGCGAGTGCATTGCCAAGGTCTCTACCTTCAATGCCATGTCGGCACCTGTCGAGTTCCGCGCCGTGTTCCTCTGGCCCATCCTCATGACTAGCGACTACCTGGACATGTTGCGTCGGCGGCATCCGGCGGCTATGGTGGTGTTGGCGCACTACTGCGTCATCGTCCACATGGCAGAGCCGTTTTGCTGGTTCCTGAACGGATGGGCCCGGTCTTTGATCTCGCTCATCTCGCAGCACTTAGCTGCAACTCCATGGGCAGACTTGGTGGCTTGGCCCGTCGAAATTATAGGAGTTGGCGGTTACGAAGTACAACTAGATCGCATGGCACACGCTATGCCCGCCGTTCTTTAGTCTGTTGTTTTAATCTTTCTTTCTTCTATTCTTCCACTTGATACACGCTATAGATGATACCGAGACCGTCAGTCGTCTCGCAACGGGAACATCTTTACGGACAGCAGTCACTTGACAGAGAGCCGATTTCATCTTTCGCTAACAAGGGCTGGGGCGTTACTGGATTTGGACGGGAAGACATGGCCAAGGCAGCCGGAATCGGCGGATGCGCGGACAAGCGCGGACAGGCGCGGAGAGCGAAAAGGTTATTTGGAGTTCACGGCTTCGGCGGGGACTTCGCGGGTTGGAGAAACTGGAGCCCCAGAGGGAAACTTGGTTGAAACCTTGTACGGAGTAAAGCGAGGTCCAAAGTTTGTGACCTGTCGACGTTTTGTCAGCTATCTAGGTGCGATGAACACCAAATTCAATACTGAACAGACTATTCTGATGATCTGCGCGGGCCGTCCGCTCCGGATGACGGCATCGGTTTCGCTCCGCGTACAGCTCTTGAGTCGTGTAAGTGACACAACACGATAGACTCAGCTTTGCTTGTTACTATTCGAGCTACGTGCTGACCGCGACGAGCTTCGCCTCTGACAAATACTTGACCTTGGGTGAGAGGAGAGACAATGGGACATGAATCCGTCGTTCACAGGGATGTTTTCCAGGTTCTTGGCCTAGAACGCCCGTAGCGCACAGGCTGTGCCGTAAGTACGTAACGCTACATCGGGCATTTGGCTAAACGCCACAGGACTTCTGAGAAGACGCACTCATCAGGACATGCCGTGATTACTGAGTGGCGGAGTCATGATATTGACTTGGCACTTTGAGTAGCATGAATCTTAGAAAGTGCGACAATCTCCATGTTGCGAGTGCGGAATGAATTCCTCTCAATCCTGTCGCTACGATATCAGAAGTAAATCTGCCATTCTCTCTTGGACTGGATCTCTGAGTTGCTGTCAGCCTGATGGTAGTCAAAGCCGCTCAATGTTCAAGAGCTCGGATCATCCATCTAGCGCCTTCTTCCTGGTTGAAAGACACCCGGAGTCTCCTTTCCCACATCGCTCTTATCTTCTCCGCCTCGAGTCCAGCTGTAGCACTGACAGCAAACACACCAGAAGCCATCCAGAGCGAGTCTACTGCTGCCCCGTTTCCTTCCTCATTACTCTGTCGAAGGCTAAATTGATGATTGACAACAGGAATGAACGACCTCTGCACGATCAGGTTGGTATTGGGATCCGGTCTCAACACCCACGCGCCTCGATCGACGTCTCGCCGCAGCCCTTTCCCTTCGACGATGATATCAGAGATGCCGCTCGCCCCGGCTGAGGAGTAGACAAGACACCTGTCAATGTCCTCAGTGTAACACTGCTTATCCGCTTCGTGAGCAGACTTCTTCGGAAGAAACTTCCCCATTGCTGTATGTGAATCGATGGCGAACCCTCCATCAACGAGCTGCACACTCCCAACCCATGACGGGATTTCCCCCTTGGGATTCCAACGGACCTTATGAACCCGTACGTGCCACCCGGGAAAGCTCTCCACGACGGGCACTAGTGCCGTCTCAACCTCCAAATCAAGCCACTTCCATGGTTTCCAGACACTAACTAAGGATGGCACCTCGTTGTACACGCCAGAAAGCGACACCGACACAAGCTCGATCCTGACCTCAGTTGGTTCCCATCTTACGCACCAAGTCTCGCCATCATCGATACTAGCAGCCAGTGTACTATCTGGCGCCATCTGCGAAAGCAGTGATCCCGTGGGGACACTAAACCCGAAAGTCGACGAGTACGCAAACTTGCCATACTTTGCCTCACGTCCTTTGAAGCTCTTCTTCGTCATCTGGCCCGAGGAAAGTAAGAAATGGTGTTCTGTCCCGTTGCAGAGTATATGCCGCGGCGGCCAGATGGCTCTCACCCGTCCCGGATCCAACTGCCTCCTCTCCATTGCAGTACCCAGGGGCTTGACGTCTTGGAGAGGGTGTGGCTTCTCCTCGCACCTCCAAAAGGCGTGATCATTAGACAGACCTAAGATGACGAAGCTCTTGAGGCACCAGTACACCGACTGCGGCGAGTTATAATCCTCGCTGAGATACATGTTGGGATACGTGAACCCGATGCTCAACGTCCCGTCCGTGTTAAACATGTCCGGTGTTTTTGCCCACCATCGGAGATGTCGTAATAACAGTCCCTTGACTACTCCAGGATCGTCGAGAGGAGGTGCGAGACCCACGCCAGCGGTTGCTGCGGCGGACCAGAATGCAGCAAAAGCAAAGCGGTATGTTAGACTTCGACCAAATGGTATCGCGGCCCCTTTTCTTTGACGTCAGCTTCCTTTCCAGATCTCAGTGACAAGGAATCAAACTAAAAGACTCACCATTCGTGTCAAAATACCTCCAGAAGCTCGACGCAAACTCCTTGGCATGCACCTTATACTTCTCAACCCTCTCCTCATCCCCAACAGCGAACCGCACATACAACAACTGCGCAAACTGAATCGCAAAGCTGCCCGAGTAATAATCCGCCTGTTTCCTGTCCTTACCCCAGGCTCCATCACTAGACCACCCCTCTCCCATATAAAACGTATCCAGAACCTTCAGATCCCCGACCATGATTGATCTAGCCTGCTCAACAGGCACCCCAAGTGCCCTCACCAACGCCAGATTAACAAACACTCTGAACCAAAGCCAATTATTCTTAGGCATCCTCTTCCCATTAATCTGCCTCAGCCAAACCCTGAGTCTCTCCTTCGCCTCATCGTCACATGCCGAAAGAAACGGCCCAGGCGCAATAAGCATCGCAAAGGCGATGGACTCCATCTCTACCATCCGCTGATCGATGTCACTCACATCCCCCCAATACTCCTCTGAATTCGGATCCGTCCCCGCCACGATCCCCCGAGCCCAAGACCCCAGATCCAAGCCCGCGAGTTCTTCGCCCTCGCCGCCGTTTTCGACGTCATTCAAGAGATCCGCGATAACCCATAACGGTCTCGCGAACCCTTCCAACTGTGCCGCGACCTCATCGAACCCCGCGGCTGTGTTGGTCGCAAGCTTGATACGCGCCTCCTGGGGAGACCTGTGCTGCTTCAACGGTCGTATCAAAGCTGTCGCTGCGCGCACGAGGTCGGCGCGGGTGCGAAAGGGGTTGTCTGAGAAACCGGGCAGGGAAGGCATGTTGTATCGGCGACCTGCGAGTCTTCCAAAGAGTGGATGCGATTGATTCCCCAGCGTCAAATGAAAGCCTGCAACTATTCGCGTCGATGAAGGTCGAACGAGTTCTATCTACGAGTCACGCGCCGGTCTTTGCTTCAAGATACATCGGCCGCCTCGATGGTGCGGATGAAATTCAGCGGACTGCGGGGTATTTCCTAAACAACCTCAACTCGCGCGAATGATGCACCGAGCCGACGTCACACGATCTCACTTGCTCCATGAATTCACGAAGACAGTTCGCCTTGGACTTACGATTACTCAAAATTTTCAATGCTTTGTAAGAAAACAAAACACTTGTTCATAGTTACGAACCTCATACGCTACTTCACCAGTATCATTAGCAGAAACACACTCTTCAAGCTCTGCCAATCTAAAACTCCCTGCTGTTATCCCCTGCCTAAAACACAAAGAAGTAAGAAGAGACCCAGCCCTTAGAAAGCATAAGTTGAACGAAGCCCTGCGAGCTCTATCCCGATTCTAACAAGACGAGTCTTGCCCAGATCATCTTAGGCGACGGTGAAATTATACATAACCTGGTCCCCCTAATCAAACTCATTGTCGTAACCATAGTCATAATCGTCCTCATCCGCGTGATAACCTCCCCACATACCTCCGTGAGCATCGCTCATGTGATTATAGATGTCCTCTTCGCCGACGTTCTCGCCGCAGGCGAAGCACCAATGAGCATTGCAACCCGGGACGGTGCATGTGATATGGTCACATCCGCCCATCTTCTCCGTAACTGTACCGCAGCCGGGACAGTTGCGAACCTTCAGCCTCTGGGCGCCCTCCATCTGAATCTCCTTGCACTCATCACATGACCAGTTCGAAACTTCGGGTGCGCCGACAGCGCATACCCGCTCAGCATACTTCTTGGCAAAGCCGCAGTCTCTGCACCAGCCGTATATCCACTCTTTGTCCGTAGCCGCAGTCTGCAGGTTGCCGATGTGGGATATACCAAAGTTGGAGACAGTCTTGACGGTCGGCTGTCGGCGGCAGAAGGGGCAGGAGAGAGCTGCGAGGTTGAGCAATCTTCCACGGACATTGAGCCCATACCAATCCTTCATACACCCGTTGCAGATCTGCTGATGGCAGCCGGAGCGACCACATGCGTTTCGAAGATCGGTCTTCCGGATGTTGGAGAAGCATAAACTGCAGACTCCAGCCTCAGTACGCCGAGATTTCACCCACTTGCGAAGGGACTCGAGAATGTCGTCCTGGTTTTGGATAGCCTTGCCGCGAATCGTGAGCTGTGATTGCTGCTGAACCACTGGAATGATCTCAACATTCTTTGCCAGCGAGTCACGGTTCGATTCTTCTACTTGAGAAATGGTGTAGAACAGAGAACGGCCGTTGAAGGGGTCCTTGATCGCCGAATCGTCGTTGCGCAGGAGCCACGAGACGCCGTTCTCGCCGCTGAGTGTCTTGGCTGAGGTTTCGAAATCGATGACAGTAACTCTGTTGGCTGTACAGGCGGGGCACTTGAAGGCCGAAAGATCAAGGTCGGAAGGACGGTATGTCTCGGGCCAGATGACCCTGTTTCGACACTTCGAACAGTCGACACAGGGAGCTTCGCGCGGGATCTTGTACTTTGCCGCGACGGATCCATGGTGTCGGCAGTAGTAGCATTTGGCCCGTACGTTCAAAGCCTGAGGATTATAAACGACGTACTGAGCACGGCATGTTGGCGAGAAACATTCGACCCACGTTGCCTCCGTCTCTTCGGTATCGCCACGGGTCACGTTGTTGCAGCGACGGGCCTCTTGATCCGGGACAGTCTCACAGACCTTGCAGTCACACTTGTTGCTCTTAGGACAGAGGCCACAGACATTATTCGGCCCCATTATAGTGACTGAGCGGGGAAACTCGCATCTTCTGCATATGACAAGGGGCCCAAGAGATACCTTAGACTTGTCAGGGTGCCATCCAATCTTGGCCTGTAGGGTTGTGTTGAGATTCAACTCAAGGAGTTTGTAATCTACCAGAGTCTCAAAAAGATGTCGGTCACTCTGAAGAAGAACACAGGCTTCTGGCGCTGGACGCTGTGTTATGCCTTGAGCGACGCGTCTCTCGTAATCCTTGTTGGCATCTAGAAGCAGCGAGAGGCAGCTGGCATTCCAGGTCTCAGGGATGTCCAAGTTGTTCCACTTCGTGGTGAATGTGAGTAGTTCCCTGTCTGCGGTGGCTGTGAGGGGCCGGATACCCAAGCGCAGGGCAAGGGCTGCAAGCAGGGCGGCTGGGCGAGCGGCCAACATGGTCCCAGGAAGTATGAGATGTAAAAGAATCTTCCAAAACTTTCGCTGATACTCGACAGACGAGAGGACCATAGGGATCCTGGCGACACTAGGGTCGGCTCTAATGTGAGCTGGCAGGTCCTCTTCGCGGGCCACATAGGTCAATCGTGTGAGGACTCTACCGAGCCTCCGGAGAATACGGTTGTCGCAAGAGCGACCAATCTCCAAAAGCTCCTCTCGTGTAAAGTCTGTGACTTCACGCTTATCAGCGTTTGAGTCTTCATCCTTGTCATCTGTGGAGGCCTGGAATTGCTCAGTGGGATCGAGAAACACGCAGGGGTATCTCTGGTGTTCAGGCACCTTGCCGATGGCTTCCGAGATTTCAGCTGCGTAGTCGTAGGACTCTTCGAGCCAAGCTTTCATCCGAGCCTTCTTCTCAGGCTCGGGGATGCGGTCGACGGCGTACCCGAATGCCTGGATGAGACCATCGCGAGCCGGGTTGTCGCGATCGTTGCAGACGGCTCGCCATAGACTACCGAATACAGGGTTGATGGCAATGGTGCCAACATCAGCTGCGATCAAAGTTTCGAGTTGGCCAACGACAAAGCTGCGGTAGACCTCATCAGCTTTGTATCTCTTCGAAAAGTCCAAAAGGGGCGTTGTCCGGGCTTCGACGACAGTCCGCAGTTCATCAAGCTTGGTAGGTGTTGACTGGATGTTGTTCACGACAGTTTGCTCCATATGTTTGGCGATGACAAAGTACGACTCAAGGGCCTCGTCCTCTTCATTTACGATGTCCTCAATGCTGGAGGCAGTTCGATACTGACAAGCTTCGGCGTAGGTACGCTGGCCGGATGCTGCTCCGCCTTCCTTTCCTACACCCATCCAGGCCATCAGGATGCCGGTGGTCAACTCCGAGATAGCGACCGATGTGGGAACGTTGTGTCGGTTATCGAGCTTGAAGCTCACTCCCCCCGTGATGTGTGAGAGGAAGGTGAAGGGGGCGACGGTGTCGTCGATGCCGCCCTGGATGACGGAGAAGACCTTGGCCTTCTTCTCGCCGTCTCGGAGAATCTTGGCGCCGGCAATCCAATCGGTAAAGTACTTTCCACAGCCGTAGAATGAGTCAGACTTGGAGAGGTTCTCGATCTCGGTGGTTCTGTACTTGGACGACGTTCCCGGGATGTGAGGAGGAGCGTCGGCGTAGAGGATGATGATGGTGGTGGCCTCGGGACGCATGATGCTGTAGGCTCTTGCAAGTCCAGTCTTTGCAGCCTCGGGCCAATCCAGCCTGTAAGGACCAGAGTCCGCCTTGATATGACTGGCCTTCTGAAGCAGCTGGCCCTGTGTGATTGTGTCGTCGGCGGTTGAGTTTGCTGAGTACCATCCTGACCACTCCGTCAACATGGAGGCGGAGTAGTCGCGGTAGGCCATGACTCCGATCCGGTCGAAGCAGTCGGTCAAAGCTGATATCCGAATGATTTCGGGGAGTGACTTGTTGAGAGCTTGCAGATAGCTGCTCATGGACGCCGTGGCGTCCGTCAATATCAAGAGATCATAATGGTCGGTGGTAGCCATGCTGGGTGGTGCTGGTCGTTGTCCGTAGACTGTCCCGTTCTACGGCGTCTTGTTTGCGAAGACTCCAAGAATGGGAGACGAGGTGCAACTTGAGCATGAAGAATCAAATGGCTGAGAACATTTCGAGAGTGCTTTTCGTGTTTATATAGAAGAATTGAGGTATTGCAGGCAGTGAGAAGGAAGAAGGGGAAGATGAGGCCAATCGGGGGATGCGTTGACTCACGCCGCCAGAAGGTGCGCCGCGGTGTTGGATGACGGGAGTTCACCTCAGGAAGTTGGAACGGTCAGACGATTGGGCCGATCCTGTAACATTCGCCGTATTCCTCTCAAGGGTTTGCGGACTCTTGCCGGCTGAGTCAACGTTCGAGTTCATGGTAGATGCCTTGGATGTTGGTCCAGTTTCTACACTGGACGAGTTGTTGCATTTCTTTGAAGCAGCGTTGGCCGAATTGTTGTGGCTCAGCCCATGAAGCTTGCCCGTTGGCAATTAGCTCTCAGTTCTTCCCCCGCAAAGTGGCTGGGGGCGGCCGCTCATGTCAGCCCTTACCGCGCGCTTCGCCTCAATGATGGTACTTTGGTCGAGATATAAGCATTCAAGTTCGTTTTTATTGGACAATTCCACATCTTTTTGGGGGGGAAGGCAGAATAACAGGCATTTTCGCATCAATCGGCACTGGTTGATAGGAAGAAATCGCTCAAAAGCTGGGGGAGCTTCTTCAATTCCACCCACAGTCAATTGATAGCGTCCGTGTGTAACAGCCCTTCATATTGCTTCATTATGCTATTATCATTACACTATTCGAAATGACCTTGTCTTACTTACATTGAAGCTAAGTTCATCTAGTTGCGGACATACGAAACCGGCTCCAACGCCTCGTTCGCGCAATTGGCGGGCCCATTGATGGGGTTGCATCGCACCGCCGCACCACCTTCGAAGCGAACGGCATAGTCGACGTTCCAGCGGCTGCTCATGCCGTAGGCCTGGAAATCGGTCGACACGATCTGCGCACCGCTGGAGAACGCGTCCTCACGCATCCCCGTCGTGTCGTTGGACAGCAGCGTATCGAGCGGGATGTCGGCGCGTGTGCGGACCCAGTAGCCCGCCTTGACCTGCGCCTGGATGTTGGCCTGTTCGGTGCCAGTGGGGTCATTGAGCTGATTGAAAGTTGTCAGTAAGACTCACTTCTTATCAAAAACACCCTCGGTTCAGAAGGTTTGATGAACAACAAACCTTTTGGAACGCGCAGTCAGAGTTTCCGGGCGCGGAGTTTGTGAAGAGAATACGGCCTTCAAGGTTAGGTCGGCCCTCGGTGTAAGAGTCACGGATGGGGTTGACGGGTCCGTTGTCCATCAGGAACAGCACACGACCACGAGCACTCTCCAAGTCAGGCCACCCATACCGCAAGACAGACTGCTCCAGCGTCAAGTTGCCCCTACGGATGTCGTCCGGGGTAACAAGGTCCCCGGGCGCAAAGACACTACGGATCTCATCATCGAGGCCCTTGAGAAGTGCCGTATCGTTCCAGGGGATCTGAGCCGCACCGCCGATTGCTGCGAAGGCGGCTTCGGAGGTCTTGAACTCGATCATGAAGGGGATGGGGACATGGTCCGGGTGCGCCTGGCTCCACTTCTTGACGATACTCAAGCACCCGATGAATGTCTTGCAGGTAGGGTGATAGTCTGCGTCGGCGACATGGAGGACTTTGATTCCTGGAGCGAGGAGATCGGGGTCTGGGGTCGTGGAGAGGTTCGCAAGCTTGCGGATGAGGGGCGTGGCGTAGTGGCCTCCCTCAGGGTCGGCAAAGATGTCGAGCTCAAGGTTGCGGATGGACTGGTGGTTGAGTTGTATATCAAGGGACGGGTGGGAGTAGTAGTAGTTCTGGACGTTGGGAAGCATCTTCGCCTGGGTTGGGTGCTCCTCGAGCGGGGCCTCGCGATGGTACGAGTTGTGCGTGCCTACGACCTGGACCTGGTTCATCCGGATGCTACGGGACCAGGTGAGGCCATTGTGGGTGTAGGACTCATTGCTGCATGAAGCGGCGCTCACGAGAGGGAGCACTAGTCACGGTCAGAATCTATATGTGAGGAGAGCCCAGAAAGGGTGTAACGCACGGAGAGCAGCCTTGAGGGCCAGGCTTGACATAGGCGACATGGCGACGAGGGGTGAGATGAGGAGAACAACAGCAACAACTACGCACAGGAAATAAAGGCAAAGATTGAGGGGATTGTAAGGAGAGCTCATGCTTATATACAGAACAAAGTTGCATTCGAGATCGCCAAGAGCGACCGAGAGCTCCGTTCAAGCCTCTCGATGGACGTGACGGTAATGTGTGAAGCATAGGGTTCATCCGGTGGTGCCAGCCAGCCGGGTCAAGTCAGGGCACGTGGATTTGAGTGAAGGACCAGCTCTGAAAAGGTTATATGAGTGACAGGATGCAGACCAAGACTAACAAGGTCGAACAGCAGACGGCAGATGACAGACGTACGCAGTAGAGGACAGAGGAGAAACGGACGCACCGGAATGAGAGATGCCCCACCACCGGAAGCCGTTGTCCGCTGTGCCCCGCACATTGCTTGGAGGAAACAGCTTCCCAACTTGGCAGGCCTAAGGAGGGGTCGGCCAATGGCGGGCTTGAGGGCGAGCATGTGCCTGGGAGCTCATCTCATCTTCCCTGAAGCTTCCCTGCACATGAGAACGTCGTTGAGATGATCCACGTGGGCTCTCGCCATCGATTGCGACAGGATCTGTATTGTAGCTCTCACGTTGAGTTAAATGAGCGTGTAAAGTCCAGATCTGCTTGTAGTGTCTCATCGTCGGCCGCTTCTTATTTTCGCAACGACCTTGACAGACCAATCCGAGTTGAATGCTGAGTGAGTGTGTACACTGAGGTAGAGAGGCTGAAATGTCATACACTTCACTTGGGTACTTAGAGACGCCTTGGACTTACCATTAACTGTATTTCTTCCCAAGAGCGACATGGAAACATGATTGAAATGTGACGGTACCTTGTTATCTCCGATTTGCGGCGGGAATCTGCCCTCTCACTCACTCACCTTCATGTTCACTCACACTTGTCATTCGAATCGATGCAGCAAGAGTCTTCATGAGATACTAATGGATAAGCGCCGTCATGAGCATCAAGACATGATGGCGTGATGGAACACTTTCCATCCTATTTAACAGATAACAACAATGTACCTTCGCGCCAGTCAATAGTCATTCAGCTCCTCGTCAATCAGCCATTCTCTGACTAATGCCTCGACATCAAGGACGAACGTAACCGCCAAGCTCCAATTCCATGTCATCATCGCATGAAAGCCACGATTCCATTCAAGGCAGCAAGATTAGCCTCAGGGCACCTCAAACTCACATCCGCGAAGCCACATCCGCGAAGCCACACCTGGCCGCCCAGAATCTAGAATGTTTCGGCCACTGGTCCACTGTCAACTTATGTAAAGCACCCCGTGCTTCCTTTCGCTCCCTCTGCAATGTACCGGCCAGGCCCGGCCCCACCGCACGGCGCCGTGGCGTACCTCCGGCGTTGTGCATCTGCAGTCCGACCGCCCGTGGTTCCCTCCGGCCTGCAGCACCATGATGGGCCTATCACCCGTCCATCCATCCATCGTTCCATGTCAACTCAACCATGGAACCAGGGGGCCAAGCGCTTGTCGATATCTCTAGGCACTCTGATTCGGCGTTGGCCTGCTCAACTGCCATCGCGGTACCGGACCTACCTTCCCAGTACGTATTTATTACTACCCTTTGCCGTCCGTTATCATCACGTCTTCACCTCAACTCAAGGCGATCTCTAGCATCGCCATCCCTTCATTCCTCTACTGTCTTTAGAAGGTTTTAATTCTTTACATAAGGTACCAATTACATCCCACAATCATTTCCAAACAGCCAGATCGGTTCTGGCATTCACACTCCTTTCTCTCGGCACCCTCACCGAGCCACACCGAGCAATCACAAGCATCGCCCATCCCCCTCCATCTACCTTCTCCTGCGCCGAGGTCAACTGCAACCCCAAAGATCGACACCCACTTCCCCTCAAAATGCATGCCCCGACCCCTCACCTTCTACCCCTGGCCACGGCCCTTCTAGCCATCGGCACCAACCTCGCCCATGCAAACCCCCTCCAAGTGTTCACCGCAGGAATGGATAGCACACTCCCCATCGGCACGAACCCCATCGTGAACCCAAAAGTGGAGTACCTAGGTTTCCAGCACGCCGACAACAGCTGCTCCCACCGCGATCTAGGCTTCACCGGCTCTATCGCAGGAAAATGGTACGCCGTTTGGGGTGATGTGCTCTGGTGCGATGCTGGTGTCACGGATCCCGAAAAGGACACGCCCGGGTTCCACGGTATGGTGCGCGACGCCGTGTCTGTCATGACGAAGAACCCGCTGATCGTGCACGATCTCAACCTGGGAGAGAATGGGCGCCAGAAGCAGTTCATCCCCTTCAATTCGTCGTGGGGAGAAAAAGTTGATACCGGGTTCGGCGGGACGAGTCTGGTCGAGACTAATGCTGAGACGCGCACCGGGGCCGTCTTTTACCTAGTTGTAAGTCATCATCCCCCTCCAGGAAGCTAGAAACCAGAGCCCAAAAGAGAGTCTGCACAAGACTTACATAAAACTCCCTAGAACCAAAACGCAGACGGCCTAGTAGGCGCGGGCATCGCCAAAGTAGACGTCCTGTTCGGAACCCCCACCGTGACCAAACGCTATGGCGACCGCGGCTACTGGTGGGATGCCAAAACCACGCCCCGGTACGGCGACATCGCCGCCTTCCGCGACCCGTGCTCCGAGTACATTTACGCCTGGGGCGGCCCGCCGACCACAATCACCGACTGGGGCCAGAGCAGCTACGTCTACCTCGCGCGGGTCAACGCCAGCCAGGCGTTCAACGTGAGCAACTATGAGTACTACTGGGGCCGCCAGCAGGGGTGGAAGTCTGACGTCTTGACGACGTTCAATTCCGAGACGGCGACTGTGTGGGGCACGGGACAGGGGCAGATTGTGTGGAATGAGCACTTTAAGTGTTATATCTTTGTTCACCTTGGTATGTTTCTAATACTGTGGTTTCTGACATGCAGGCCTAAGACTGACTTTGTGAAAGGCATCGGTGGCGGCACCGTCTTCTTGCGCACTGCTACAAAACTCGAGGGCCCCTGGACGCCGGACATCAAGATCTTCCAGGCTCAGGCCATTGATGGCGGGCTCGTCTACGCTGGCGTCGCTCATCCGTATCTGGACCCCACGGGCAAGACGCTCGTCATCTCTTTCACGAACAACAACAGGATCCAGGTGATCAAAGTAACCTTTTCCAAGTGAGGTTGGGTAATTTTCACGCGCCTGACAGAAAAATGTATATTCTTCCAGTCACTAAACTTAAGTTCATCCCCGAGTACATAATTCCAGATCTTCTGTTCGGATGTTATGAGGCAGTTTGGGAAAGCAACAATTTCGTGCCGGCGAGAAAAGTGTCGTAGGAACTATAACCAACTTCAATTCTACTCCATAAGCTCGAAGCCTTAGATAGAGCCTCCATAATGGCTACTACCACAATACAACATATAGTTTTGTGAACCCATTTGTACGAGGCGCCAATCGCTAGATAAGAAAGTGTCTTTTCCCTTCTTTGGGGTACCCCTCGAGACACAATATTAACGGGAATTTCATGAATCAACAAAAGAAAAGAATCAACTATGAGCCATTCGAGGCGTTTGGCCGTTCTGGTACCGGCACAGTCTAATACCCAATGATACGCCCCTCTCGAAGTCAAGTAATATCAAGCCCGCCCTTTTTTTTCACGTGGTCAGCGATGCCCAAAATGCAACATTCAAGTCTCTCGGTCGGATCCCTGGTGATCGTCCCAGGCAGACCGATTTCAATCCGATTTCTAGAGTTGATGTTAGCATTGTCGGACCAGAATCGTAGAGATGACTATGGGCACATACCTTGAACGAGCACTCCAACATTGATCGTCACCGCCCTCCGCTTTGACCCGGGCGTTGCGGTCTGGTTGGTAGAGGTGCTCTCCAGCCCAAACATATCGCCCGCAAGGCTCGGATCCAGGGGCATCTGACTCGACGCCGCGTCGCTAGACTGCCCGACGGACCGTGTATCGCCCAAGTGGACATCAGACGGCCTTGTCGGCTTCAGAGTCTGCCCGAGCCATTGCCTGGCAGCGGCATCCCCAGGGCTCGTTCCGTAACTGCTCAAGATATCGGAGGCGTTGTTAATGCTGCTGCCGTTGCTATCGAGTCCGCTACCGTGAGCACGTCCAGCAACCGCGGTCTCATCTGAAAAGTCTGCAGGATCGATCTCTGCCGTGACGAAATCCGCAGCGGCGGGAATATCGACTCCTCGTCTCCGAAGAACCCATTCAACCTCGTCCGCATCGTAAAAGTCCCCTTGCAGGCCAGGGACGTTCATTCGAAGTCTCGCAGCGGCGCGCTCCACTCTGAGGTCTCGCATCTCTTCCGTCGCCGCATCCCACGGCCCCATGCCATAGAGTGAGTCGACCTTTTGCCGATACGGCTCGGCCGTCCCCTGATTCCCCACCGGATTTCTCTGTTTATGGCCGCTCGGGTACGCCATCTCATCCAAGTCATTCATCTCGTCGAACCACGTCCCCCCGCCCCCTAGGTGTAAAAATGGAAACTTCCAGTTGAACATTGTTTCCCGTTGGTTGACACTGAGACGGTTAGCGATCCGCTCCATGATCCTCTCTTTGGGCTCGAAAAGTAAACTGAAACCGAAAGCGCTGTTGATGAGGCTGCTCGGCGGGTTGGGCATGCGGAGCAACGTGTAAGCCTTTTCTAGAGTCGATCGTTGCAGACGCCGCCCAAACGTCCGCTCCTGGTGGGCATAGGAGGTCGGTGAAGAGAGAATATTGAATAGGGAATCAGAAAAGGGCTGGTTGGCGAGTAGATCGAAAGTGCCTGGTTGGTCCAGACTATGCTCGTAGGACATACCGAATGGGAAACTAGCATTATCCGGCGTCGGTTCCGTCACAATCTCGTAGCCCATTGGGGCTTGGGATAGTGTCGAGTGCGGCATGTGTGACTGACTATCGGGCGCCCAAGATGTTGTATGCACCGCAGTCATCGCAAGTGTTCGAGGTGTTGACTGTAGCTGATGCTGTTGCGGCTGCTCGCTTGACAAAACATCGTATATGACTTGTTCAATCGGCTTAGCAATTTCGGGAGATGGTGACTTTTCGTTGCCCCTTTCTTGCCCACCGGCAGGGCCGCCAACTTCCTCGACGTCTCCATCGTTTTCCTGGCTTGGAAGCACGTCGCCTTCCTTTTCTGGCTCCTCGCTCGTCTTCCGCGCCAAAGAGACAAACTTTTCTGTCGTAGCTTGCAGTTGTCTACCAAATTCGGGTGTGCTCTCGTGCATGCCTTTACTAACGGCGAAGTCGTAGAGTTTCATGAACTCCTTGCTCATTTCTTCATTGGTGCGCCTCAACTCGTCAACTTTCTTCTCGAGCGATTGGATCGCTGTCTCCTTGCGGTTGCGGTAGGCTCTTTGAGCGAGCCGAATTTGTGTTCGACGACGCTGCTATGGTTAGAAGGGGTCGACTGAGGGAGCATGTGTAAGATAAGGAAGGCAATAACATGCGAACTAGTTTCCGTGGCAAAGCTGCAAAAAGGGGGTAAGATCAGGAGTCATTCGCCAACTTACGTCTTTCGCGGTCTCATCATTGGTGTCTAGGCGTGGTCTCCCCCTTGACCGCTTCTTTTCCTCCTCGTCCAGTTCTACAACCTCTACAGACTGAGTCTTTGATCGTTTCTTGGAGGATCGTTTTGCCTCCTCACTGGTGTCGACAGCAGGTTTCCCCCCAGGAGGTAGGCTTCTTGGTGCGCGAAAGCCCGACATACCATCGTCGAAAGATTCGGCGTTGAGAATGGACAGCCCGGAGTTCTGCATGAATGGTGCCGGGTAGTCGCCGGGGTATTGAAGGACCCCAGTCTGCCGATGTTGGAGGAAGTCGTCGCTGAGGTGGTTGTGATAGAATGGGTGGGCGGGTACCGCCACAGGTCTGGACAAAGAGAAATCCACAGGGCGCTCCGGGGCGAGATGTGCGGATTCTAGGCCCGAAAAATGGATCGGGGCTAGTTCGCCAGGATTTGGGGGCAATTCGGGGTCTACGTAAGCAAATGATATAAAGCCGCTTTCGGTGGGTGCTTGAAGCTGGGCCTGGAGAAGCCGTGGGTCGTGTGGATGGCAGAGTAAAGACGCCGTGTCGGGAGAAGACGAAGCGAGGGAGGCTGACTGTATAGAGTCCGCCGGCGAAGGATGTGGAAATACTTGGTGATGATATTGAAGCTGTTGGCTGAAGTCTTGCGGGGACTGGTGATTATGGGGCACGCGATAGTGTTGTTGGGGTTCGTGAAAGATTGTCCAGTACTCCTGATCTTGAAAATCACGGTAATAGTGTTCCTCTGCATTCAGTTGCTGGTGATTTTGCGTCAGGTGCGGGCGCGCATGTGTATATGAGGGGTGAGAGAAGAGAGGTGGGCGGGATGCTGAGTAACGGACAGTAGATTCGGCGCCGGTTGAACCACGTTCTTCGAGGGATACTTCTATTAACGGGCCCGGATAGTTGGGGGCACTAACGCCAGCGCAGCAGTCTTTCTCTTGTTGCTGATCAATGACTTGTGACCGAGGACTTGCCAAAGGTCGTTGGGGAAGCGGTCGAGAGAAAGTTGAAAAGCCGTGTCTACCTTGCTCACGAGACCCGCTTGCGTGATGGGTCTGTCGGAAGGGAGGAGATTCGTCGAGGTCGTCTGCCGTATCGGACGGCGTATCGAGGCCGCTGGGACGGGAATGATTACTCATATCCGCCGAGTAGAAAGTGGGTGCGCCGGTAGTGATGTGGATCCATAAACTCTAAAGATGCCGACTAACGCCTCCAATCTCGGTATATACGAGTTTGTGAGTGTGGTACACCGAATAAGCCTAAAATATTGTTAGGGTAAGATAGCCTCACCATTGCGCCGGGCTCCAGGGACCTGTAGCCAGGCACCGTCAGCCATGCAGAGCTTAACAACAACACTCGCAAATCCCGGGCAGAGGCGGGCCCAAAAGAAGGTAGCAGAACGAGATTAAAAAGGTAAATATGTAAAGGAGCCACTTAGAACCGTTCAAATGGTGCTCCAAGTTTACGAAAACGTAGTTGGCTAGATTGCGGCTAATAGAACAGCTTGAAGTTACAAGTGGATAGTGCTTTGATAGAGGTACGACTGGTAAAGATTAGAAGACTAGTCCTCTCCAATACAGTTCGACCTTTGACGAGACAACTTAGACATGTCCATGACACGTTCACAGTCTGGTTGTGTCTGCGGCGGATCGTACTTGATTTAAGAAAGACAATTCGGCGCCACTTCTTGTCAACACTGACGAAACCCACCAAGGATAAAAAGCAAGAAGTGAAGAGGCGTAGAGTACACGGCCCGCCATGGTCATGGTGTGGGTAAAATCTCCCGCCTTGAGGGTAGAACACCGACTCGTTCCCCAATCCAAGGATACGGGTGACACCGTGGGACAGGGTGATCAGCTGTGGCCAGGCCAGCCTTGTGGATGAGGCAAGTTGAGTGTGTTGGATTGTCATTGAAGTGCCAGGGCCTTTCGGAGAGAGAGAACAATGAAGAATGCTGCGAAGCAGGGAATAAGACGGCCAAGAGCTGCATGATTGGATCGCGGGACTGGGGAGAGCAGGAATCGAGAGGCCTTTTGGTGAGCCTTATTTTCCTCGCGGACCCCGTGGAAGGGAACTAGAGTGTAAGAGATCTGCGGTTCGCAGCTGGGCGTGCTGCACGTATGCAGGTGAAGGATGGCCAAAACCACACCTGTAAGGAAACATCGCGGCCTCGACCGGGTAAGAAGTGACGAGGATGCGGTAGCATGGCATGGGTGATGCTTCGGTGGCCAACCTGGAGTTCTCGACCCGGATTATGTCAGTTCGAGATCCAGGCGCGCTGGGCTAACGTGTGAAACTGCAAGTGATTAAAACCCGTACCCAGCTGACAAGCCATTCGATTGGGCCGGGGAGCAACGGCAGAGAAGCAGGTCGAGATCCATTACAACCATGGTCGCCTGTGAATATGTATTCCGCCTGCCAGCCTCACTCTTGGGGCATGCTCACTCCATGAGGGGCAACGATCGCCATCAACTCACGCCATAATCCCGACCGGAGGTTTTTGCATCCCTGAAGGCGTCAAGTAGGATGAGGACGAAAAAGCAAAAAAGCAACCACCGCTTCAACATGAGAAAGGTTGTCCCCTTTTCTCAAAGAACCACTGACGAAACGGCGCTCGGAAGGCTTTGTTTGGTAGGGTAAAACTTGGCGGGTGAATTTGAGAGATCGTCAAACCTGTACCATTGGGAGCCTGTATTACCATTACTGGCAAAAACCACAAAACGTGGGTGTAAAGCGCCGACGCGTGGTGTGCACGCAGTGGCGCATGCATCATTCGGGATTGATTGGGCCATCTCGCATTGGCAACAGCCTCATGATCTCGGCTCAGCTAAAGGTTGATGTGGGATCGTCACAGCATCTCCTTCGACCGGAGGGACTCAAATAACGGCTTCTTCATTGAGAGAGTTGTTCGCGGATGGGTTTCTGTGATATTCCACCTCTTTCGGTTTCAGGATCTTGAGAAAGCAAGCCAATGCTTGCTGAAAATCATGTCGAGCTAGAAGCTAAGTACTCGAAGATAGGCAGACAGGATACCGTTCGAGGACTGATGATAGTTGGGAGCTGTGCATAAGGTAGCGAGATGGAGAAGAGAAGGAGGAGGTTTGCTGGTAGGCATGCCCTGGGCCAGAGACGGTCCATTCGGTCCGTCCCCCATATCCTTGTCGGACCCCTTCTTTGTCTGCAGCCCCGGGAGTGACCCCCAAGGGGTTTTCAGGGTTCTGGAGAGCGTGCGACAAGTTCATCATTATGACCGCGAATACGGAGTATGGGTGTGGCAACCCCCGCGCGTGTCCGATCTGGATTCTGTCAAACACCAGCGAGATCGTGTCACTGCGGCCCTTTCGGGTGGTTCGCGAGGGGTCAGCCACCCGCCTCGTGTAGACCGACACACCGATCATCTCAGCCAAATAGATATATGCGGCCGGTGTCTCGGCCGCGCAACTTTCTGGGTACGTCGGCGGCTATTATGATGGTGCGCTCCCGTCCAGCTAATAGAACGTTGGGATTCATGACCATTCGAAGAGTCGTAAAGAATATCCGAAAACCTGTCTAAGTACCCTGACTGTCTAAGATACTTACCTAATCTACCTAGGTAGGCCATTTCAGATTCCGACAACAGAGGCCAAATTTGATTCGACCGACGTGGCCAGGTTTGATACCTTTGGACAACAGCTTGACTCGAAAACAAGCAAAGTAATCTTTGCTTGGAGAATCGGAAAGCAGTGATCGCATTTGTTCATAATTTGACAGGGACCTTGCCAACATTATTGTCTTGCCCTGGTATTATCCAGCAGTAAAATATAGTGTAAGATACCTAGGCACCTAAGGTACCTACCTACCTGACCTTAGGTAAGGTAAGTTGAGGTAAATCTCGATAAGAATCGATAAGAGCCGATTAGATAAGACACCCATATGTCAATGCATCTCCCCTCCAGAACATAACGATCGCAAAGCTCAAGCTTCACCAACACCAGCAATGTGACCGAAGCTCGGGGGAATGACGCCTCCATTTCCGCGAGGATGCCATCCCACTTCGTACCAGCTCAAAACTCCCGCCATCGTATCGCCGCAATCGCCCTGTATCGTGCTCTCGTCCGCGAGGCTCGCGCCGTGCCACTCCCCAACGATGTACTCCGCAAGGGTGCCGAGAACCCACTGCCACGGCTCGTGAAGAAAGGCTTCAAGCGCAATCAGACGGAAGCGAGCTACCGTCTTGTCCTTGCTGCGCTATCGAAGGGGTACAAGGTGAGATACTCCTGTACTTTGCTCGCAGCGCCTTCTAGTATTGACAGTGCTCCAATTCAAGTTTCTCAACCTCTTCAAAGGCGCCCAGACCCCATCATCAAAAGAGCACTCCGAAATCCTTACGTACCTCCGCGAAAAGAGCCTTCGTGATGCAAGATCAGAAGCAGGCAAACCACCACCGCCACCGCCAAAAATCGAGCGTCCAAAGCCCAAATGGCCACCCCTGCTCAAGCGCATTTCCCCCCTCGACGAACCACCCGTCTACATCTCTGAGCGCCACCCTGTGCCTCGTGAGGACCTCTCCGGCATACGGCACGTCCCTAACGTCGCTGTGACCGCACACGGCGTCGTCTTTCTACGCCAGGGCAAGCCGCAGCACCGCTCCGTATGCGACTATGTCCAGAAGAAGAACAAATACAAGATTAAGAACATGGAACATCTGCTCGGCTCGATGCGCGATGAACAGCAGTTTGCGAAGGAGGAGGACCAGTGGGATGGGCATCTGCAGAGCGAGATCAAATCTCAAAAGAGGGTGGTGGAAAGGCTGGTCAGGTTGCGGCAGAGAATCGAGCAGCCCCTTGCAGACCTTCCTGACTGGGTTGAAAAACCAGGTTACGAAAGGGTAGGGACTGTCGAGCCCTATGTCTTTGAAGAGAGTTACACCAGCAGTGTAGCTGCTACATATGATGATGCCAGCAGGAGACTGAGCGACGATGCGGCGGATCAGTCTGCGAGAGCAAGGGCGTTTCTAGCGATCCGCGAGGCGGAAAAGAAGGCGTTGGAGGAAGACAACGAGTATTACCGGGAAAAGGGCTATAAGTGGATGATTGACACACCATATAAGAAGAAACAGAGACGGGTCGCAAAGCGCAAGAAGGGCGGCCAGGACAGATTTGAACGCAGGGCGGTACGGCAGGACAAAGCGCGAAAGAGCAATTTTGTCGGCCTCAGTCCTGCTCCCATCCAGGTTTAAGTCGCTTTCCCCTGGAAGAAACCAGTTTGTATTGATACTGTACTATACCTTTAGACATTCCCCATGTTACCAATACAGAATGGTGCGGCATATGATGGCTACGCGACATCGGTACCATGTTAAAGCCATGTCAAAGGGCGCACACTCCATCTTCAATGGACCTCCTTGCCTCTTCGCTCTTTTCCCAATACACGATCTCTTTTCTTGAGCCTTCACTGAGGCGTTTTCGTCTATCAATCCTGTTGTACACCGTAGTCGGCCACATCGCTCGCCAAAGTGGTTATAGGAGAAACCCTTACCTTGATGCCTAGTCGGCCCAGAGCCACACGACTTAGGTTCAGCCTTCAACTTCAAAGAAGTTTGCGAACTAAAGGGTACCGATGAAATGCTTTGAGTCACACAACTCAAAGGGTAGGCTTAACCACAAATCTGGGCGCCTGCAGGTAGGCAACGGGTAGGCTTCAGCCATAACTGTGTCCATGGGTTTACCTATAAAGACAACTCTTCCCCCCGGTTGTTCCTCTCCCCCCTCCCAGAGTATTCCGCACAGAAACAGCACACAGCACACAAACATTACAACCACCAATATAATCAGTCTTGACACAAACATGGACGAACAAACACCTCAGGCGTTCGAGTTCACAATCGCGCACTCGACGCTGCCACTTGAAGCCATCGGCAAGGGCTTCTGTGGCTCTGTGTGGTCCGCGGGCAACCTCGCTATCAAGCGCGAGGATGGCGGCCCAGGTCGTTCCATCGCAAACGAATACACGATGCATCGCCACATTATCCGAAGCTTGGATAGTACCAATAGAGTCCACCTCAATGTGCCTCACTGTGAAGGCTTCCTCAAACACGATGCGACTGCCTGGGATCAAATGCTCCCTAGATTTCCTGCGGGATACACGGGTTGCAACGCACTCATCAACGAGAAGATTCCACCACTATCTCGCGATGTTCGCAAGCTGTTGGCCCATAAGTTTCACCCAAACGTGGATGCGGATGAGATTGCCGACAGCCCGACCAATAGCCACTGTCTCGCTCGACCTTACCTGGGGCGCAGAAAGCTTCGGAATACAGACACCAATCAAGATAGACCTAGACTTAGATTCTTCAGTCTGAGGAACTTCCCACTCCACGCCGATCAGATGGAGACTCTCAACCTGGATCTTAAAGGGTACGCCGTAGCAATGGCAAAGGCTCTCGCATTCCTGCACTGGTCCGCAAAAGTCGATGCCAATGACGTTGAGTTTGTGCTTGCGAACCCAAGGACTTGCCAATCGCCACCATGCGAAGCCCCCACGACATCAAGCTTGGGTCCTGTAGGCTTCCATTCAGATGAGTTTGGCTCTCATGCTATGTGGATCCTGGACTTTGATTGTTGCAGGATGATGGCAATGGACGACAACGGAATCAAGCAAGCTTGTAGAAGCTTTTGGCGGAACGACCCTTACTATCCGCGACCTGGCAGCAACAACGCAAAGGATCAGGAACTCTGGACTGCCTTCCGGACTCACTTCCTGATGGCTAGTGAGCGAATTTTGGAGGGCAAAGAGGAGGATTTGCGTCGGCTGCCGCTGAGATTGATGGAGTGTATCGAGGAGACAAAGGGAAGGTTCACCAAGGGAACAGATTTCTAGTAGGATAGGCTAGGAGGACATAACAGCATAGTCGTGTGTGAATCCAGAGATTCAGTAAGTATTTACTGCCTCTAGTACTCCAGGTGTTGGATAGCATTTGTTTGCCGTTTCCAAGCTTTCTTTCTGTTGGCTACACACTGCCTATCAAACACTACGTGGCGTCAAACATTCCGTTGCAGAACCATTGCAAGGTTGGCTCATCAATGATTCTGCAACCAACCCGCGGTTCTTAGGCTGAACCAAGCACCGAGCTGAGGAATCAAAGTTGCTGAAAGAAAACTTCAAGAAGTTTGACTTCTTTGCATGGGGTTCTCTCTTCACCATGAGGCCTTTACCGGCGTACTTCGACAGATTACTATGTACTTAAAGGATGGACTATATTCTCAGGTGATTGTCGCTGATTCTGATTCTTTATTCCACCATCAGTTGCCAGGTTCTCCTACTTACTGAAGTATAGCACTTTGTCAGTAGTTACGCAGCACTGGCTGCGGTTTTATCGACTCAGATAACTTGGGATCACCTCAACCCCCTTCGCGAAGATGGACGATACTTCGATACAAGGCTCTTCCCGCCCACCTAAAGCCTTCGAGAAGCGTCGCCCACAGAATCAGTCGGACGAAACTGCGGCTTCTTCGAGAGCTGTCTCCTTGGAGCAGGCCATTATAGCTAACCTTCACCTAGAAGAAAGGCTTGGAGCTGAAACTCAAGGAGAAACAATCGAGGTCTGTCTCGAGCGAATGCCTTCAACCAAGTCAACAATCTCCACGGCTTCGTCTTTTGTGAAGCGTCAGCAAGCAGCAGTTGGCGTTGCTGCAAACTTCCGGGAGATTGGTATCGGCCCCATCGGCAAAGCGTCCGAGCATCCCGGCACCACGTCCGCCTACAAGTTTCCTCTCACGAAGCAGGATGATAAGTTGTGGAACAATTACATCATGCACAAGCGAATCGAGACCGCGTTCAATTCGCGTAAGTTCTGTCCTGGACAGGTCGAAATTCCAAGATGGTTCTGGTTCGCCACGCCGACCTCCCACAGCTTTTGGGAGGAGAATCTTGAACTGTTTCCCAGATATATCTGGATTCCCCCGCGAGCCCAATCACATTCTCTGTATGGAAAGGATCTTCCCTCTTCCGAAGCCCGTTCGTCACTGTCTAATTGAGAAGTCCTGTCCGCCTCAAGGACGAGAGCAGTTGATGAAGAGCGAGGCCAATAAGGACTGCTTAGTGCGGCCGTATCTCGGCCGCATCAAGTATGGTACGGGCGGCCAGTTCTTCTCTCTGCGAAACTTCAAGCTTCACGCCAACCAGATCAAGGACCTGGAGATGAAGCCAGCCGACCTGTATCTGGGGATGGCTCATGATCTTGGCGTTATGCACTGGGTCGCCAAGATTGACGGCAACGATGTTGAGTTCGTCATCGGAAGTTTTCCAGTGGCGGAGCAGGTTGTTCGCACTGACTACCGTCTTGTCGATATATTGGCCCTGAAGCCAATGACCAGCACGCACGAACTTCTGACGCACAAACTCCCTGACTTTGGCCGAAGAGTCACCTCATTGTGGATGATTGACTTCGATGACTGCCATGATATCACCATGGATGACGCGGGCATTGACAAGGCAGTCAAGGCGTTCATCGAGACCAATCACTACTGTCCCCGGCCGAATTCAGGAGGCGATTACATCGAGACCATGTGGAAAGATTTCTCAAGCATGTACTTGTCTTTCAGTAGCACCATCATGACGAAGCTGGGCAAGAAGAATGAGCTGGGAAACCTTCCGGCCAAGTTCGTCGAGAGACTCAAGGTGACATCGATCGGATCTCAACCACCCAACCCTGGCGCTTCTCCCCAAGCAAAGGACCGAGGAGGCACTTCCGGTTCCAGCTCTTCAGCCGGCCGCGGTGGCTCTTCCGGTGGCAATACTCCTTCTCGTGGCCGCGGCGGCATTCATGACAGAATAAGAAGCACAAAGCCAGAGATTTTCCTCTCTTCTACTTTTACTCAATGCGCTTACACACATTAGCCTCATGTTACTTGAGAATTGAGTTTGACTCAAAAGTGAAGACAACGATGGCAGCAGTCGACGTCCAGTGAATCTCCATGTCCTTCCTTCCCGATCAGTGGTGATCCCGTCTTCGCGGCTGCGCCTGCCTACCAGCTTTACATTGGCGCACAACAAGGCTTATTCTTCCAGTCTTTCTTCTTGAGCAGGCCCTTGTGTGTTTTTATCTCCCTCCATTACATCCACGTCATCAATCGCCATCACCACTCCGAGCTACAGTGCGAGTGACAAACGCGCCGCAGACAGCTGGTACACCACTCAATCCATCAGCCGCAACAATATTAGATTGTCAAACCATCTCCTCGATGCGATACTTGCTACTACAGGCACTGTTTTTTCCATGAATCAGGCTGCTTGACCTCATACGTAACGATCGAGTCCCGCATCCTTACGGATCAATGACGACTGCAAGCAAAATATTGTGCAACGGGTACCGCTGATCCAACGACTATCACCATTTCTTCGAATACCAGGGCCAGCCTTCGATCGCCCTAGAACTTTAGATCACGCATTCCGCCTCGACGATCGCTACAGATATCTTGTAAGTTTATCCAAATCTTGAGCAACATCACAATTTTGATTGAAGCTAATCAATGTTCCAGTTTTGCCAAACTACCATTTTGAAAAATTCCTTGGCCCGATAGAATGAATAACAACGCCCAGGATCCCGTGCTGGATAAGCCGTTTCAAACGCCTGCACTTGAACTCGAGCAGTCAAAAGACCTTAACAGCCCCAGAGAACACGAGAAAAGAGGACTCTCATCCAGATGGAGTATCTTTCCGCAAGAGATTCGATTAATGATCCTCGAGATCATCTTTGCGATGCAGTCCAAAGACACGCCGCAGGAGAAAAGCCGTCTAGCCTCCGTTTCTGCAGAATGGCAAACATTTTTCGAGGAGCGCAACTTCAAGACTCTAAAACTTGAGCGGCTCCACGATATAGACAAACTCAGAGACTTCGTCGGTCCTCGTCGTCAGATGTACGTCAGTAAGATCTGGCTCCATGTGTCCTTAGCGACATACACTTCCGAAGAGTTCTGCAAGGAAGAGGACGACGAAGGGATATTGCACAACAATGAGATTTTTGACAAGCACTTGAAGTCACTTCTTAGAACGCTTTCTAAATGGCAACTAGGCTACGGCGACGAAGATTACTTCGGCATTCACCTTCACTTCTTTGCCGACTCGCCCGAGGACGATTACCACCCATTCAAGGGGGATGATGATCCCGATGAACCCTATGATAATCTTGAGCCCGCTGACCTCTTGGGAGCACGGAAGCGTCTCATGGGAAATCTGCTCGACTTTAAAAATGCAACCCCCACGTCGAGCTTGACAAGCCTGGCTGAAACTGGGTGCCCTGTGGTTCCGAGGGTTCCAGTAGTCAAAAAGTTCAGCGTTACAGACGTATGCTATCGAAGTCTATCAGCAGACGCCATTCGTTTTCTTCTTCTGAGCTTGGATAATCTGGAAACCATTGAGTACGAACCTTGGAGGGGCATTGACCAAATAGACAGATCCCGGAGAGACAAGGCAAATGTGGCTCTACTTGAAAGTCTTCCACCTACTGTAAAGAGAGTCAAGTTATGGGAGGCTCGGCATGACAACTTACATGGGCCTTCCGAAGAGCCCGGTCCTAACCGCGATATTGCTCGGGCGGCTGTACTGGGATGCTCTCGCCTAGTTTCCTTCAGCTCTCTGAATGTTCTCGACGCCGCGCATTTCCTCGATGAAGTTATTCAATTATCCATGCCGCCGATGATGGAGTGTTTCGACCGCTGGTCGTCTCTCGAAGCGGTAGCTCTGACGTCTCCCTTCCTCGATTCAACTCTCGATGAGGCATACACTCAAGGTCTAAGTCGGAACACCCCCATTCGGCCACCCCCCCCCCCATTCGGCCACCCTATCAAAAGTAGGTCTAGGAACATCGCTACTAACTATAGTTAATTAATTAACCACCTTCTACTACTACTATAATATAGTTACTACCCTTACTAAGTAATTTAACCTCTACGATTTAACTAAGACTAATTAAATACTTATTAATATCTTCTTAGGCCCTCTTTATATCCTTAATATTAGCGAACTTAGTATTTAAATATATTTAAATACTCTTTTTTTTAAGAGCTATATACTTAACTCTAACTTTAAAACTCGAACTTATTATTAAAATAAAGTTAATAAAAAGGACTTCTTATTAAAAACTTTTTTAATTTTATAAAAAAATAAATATTAAGTATTATAATTAGGACTAAGTTTTATAAATAGTTTTAGCTACTTATTAAAATTACTAGCTTTTTTAAAAATTAATTAGTTAATAATAAATATTATAAAAGTCTAGTTAACGATTTTAATAATATTAATAATTATTTATTTAGTATTAATAATATTATTTAATAATATAGCTAAGTTAAATAATATTATAAAATTATTAAAAAGTATAACTATATTAAGTAGTTATAAGCTAGTTACTCTTTAACTATTTTATATATTATCCTTTATTAAACTAAATAAACGAGTTATAATATAATAAACTAAAAAATACTACTTTTTAATAATAATAAAATTATTTATTATATCCTCTTTATTAAACTTCTTTTTATAATTAGTTTTAATAAGATTAAAAATAATTATATTTAATAACTAAAAGATATAAGAAGTATATAATAATAAAAATAATAAATAAACGTTATTAATATAATACTTTTATATAAATTTTATTATTATATAACTCTTATAACTATTAAGAATTAATAATTAAAGCTCTAGTTATAAATTAAGTCCCCTAGTTAGGGGGGGCTTAGTTTATAATAAAAAAACTACTCTTAATTATATAAAAATAATTTAGTTTATAATTTATTTATTATTTATTATTATAAACTCCTAATTATTAAGATTTTTAAAATTAAAAAGGAACTATTACTATTAAACCGATTTTTTTTATAAATTAATAATAATTTAATAGCTTTATTATTAATAAAGATATATTTAATAATAGAGATTTAAAAACGTAATTTAGGTATTACGGCTAGCTAGTCGTAATAAGTATATTAATAAAAATTAAGGCTACGAGTATTAAATAAATAATATCGTAGTTATAAATAGCTTCCTTAAAGCTATATTTATAAGTTATAAAGTAGGTAAGGCTTTAATAATTAATCGTAGTTTTATTAAAAGGGATTTTTAGTAAAAATAGTTAAAAGCGATTATAAAATCTAATATTAATATTACGGCCCAACTAGTTAGATGCTGGCCGGTGTACCTATATAGTGTAGAATAGGGGATAATAATACCGGAGTTATTATTATCGAAGCTTTTGCTTTGTACTATAGTTAGTTACCCTGACCTGCTCGTAATACAATGATAACTCCGCCCTGCGTTAAGGGGTTATGGGTTTAATTCCCGCACGCCGCGTTGATAGTATAATTATGCCTCCTATACTATATAGGGCGTCCCGACCGTAGGTAGTACGTATAAGACTAGTCGCCTCGTACTACTACTAGAGTTTCCCTATTTATACCCGTAATATATCTAATTAGTCTTTAGCATAGGGACATGCCTCTTAGAGGGGAGATATAGTATTACGGCCTAACTAATTAGATATTAGCCGGTGTACTTATATAGTACAGAATAGGGGATAATGATGCCGGAGTTATTATTATCGAAGCTTTTGCTTTGTGCCACAGTTGGTTGCCCTGACCTGCTCGTAATAACTAAATTAATTATTAAAAAAGCTATAAGAAGTCTATCCTTAAGCCCGGCTTAAGTTTATATTATATATAAGTCTTATTTTTAAATATATTTTTTATTTATATATTATTTTAATAGGCCCCGTATTTTAAATATACGGGCTCTATATTTTAAAAAAACGGGGTCCGTATTCTTAGTATATAGACTTTTTTATTTTTTATTATTATATAACTTATTTTATAGTTCTTTTATTTTATAAAAATTACTTTATATTTTTATATTCTTATATATATAGTATATTATAACCGCTACGAACCTGCGGGGCGGGCCCTAGTCTTAATTATATATATTAAATTATAATATTAAGTCTTTTTTTTAAAAGTTTAGTTCTGTAAACCTATAAATAAGTTATCTATTCTTAGGTTAGGGATTTGTTAAGTATATTTTTTTAAAATATATTAATATAATATTAAGTCGTATTAAAAAACGTTTATTAAGTAATTCTATTTTTAAGCTTTATTTAGTTTATAACGACGTATTTAATTATTTTAATTTTAACGACGTAATATTTTATATTTAATATTTTTATATAAAATATACGTATTATATAATTAAGGGGTCGAAGATTTATTAAAATTATGAAAATCTAAAACGCCCTTATAATAGTTTTATTATTACGTCGAGTTATAAGTATTATTATAATTTTTTATTTATAGTTTTATTAATATTTTATAATAAAGAGGCTAAGTAACTAGCGTTAAGATTTAAAAAAAAAAAAAAAAAAAAAGCTAGCGATACTTTACTTAATCTTTATATAAAACTTATTTAAATTTAGTTTAAAATTATAAAAATATTATAGCTAGCTAGTTATAATAAGTATATTAATAAAAGTTAAGGCTACGAATACTAAGTAAATAGTATCATAGTCGTAAATAACTTTTCCGAAGCTATATCTATAAGTTATAAAATAGGTAAGGCTTTAGTAATTAATCGTAGTTTTATTAAGAGGAGTTCTTAGTAAAAATAGTTAAAAGCGATTATAAGATCTAATACTAAGTTAATTATTAAAAAAGCTATAAGAAGTCTATTCTTAAGCCCGGCTTAAATTTATATTATATATAAGTCTAACTATAAATATATCCCTTATTAATAATTATTTTTATTCGTTAAGTAATCGCTTAGTAAATATTAATAAGCGCTTATTTAGAATAATTATAGTAATTACCTTATTATATAATTACCGTTTTTTATTTATACGTAACTTATTTATA